TACTTCTCTCATAGCCCCATCTGTCCTAACCCACAGCACTTTAGTGACCCACTCAGCCGGTGCGGTTAATTCAAACAAAGAAGAGCTAAAGCGTGTCTTAGAGGAAGAGACGACTGCAGGCCTGTCCCCGCCCATATGACTACCATGGAACGTGCCCGCTCGATACCGATATATATTAGTTCGTTCTAGGTTTAGTTCTGTGAAATACAGTCGCCTTTTGTTGTCCTCTCGAGAGATACGTAATCTCACATTACTGAATTTCTGTGCTATTCACTTTGGGAGAGGGGGAGGGGGGTTGCACTTTCGCTAGTTCCTTTTGCTAGTTCATCTCAACTAATCGGTCTCACTTTGACGAGATCTGTGAGCGGTGAGAAACGCGAACGGTACAAGTGAGCCTCGTTCACAAGATCTTCAGCTCGTCACAAAGTAAAAAGCTTTGTTGAGGACGATTCGATGCCCCCACCCAGCCAAAATGCGCCCACTGTCAACCTCGGCTCTCACTCAATGCCGCCAAATGCTGCTTGAGGCAGCGTTCAGACTTCGCGACGGCAGCGCTTCGGTCGCGCGTTCGACGCGATCGATGCGCATGCTTTTCACTGCATCGATCGCGTCAAACGCGCGATAGAAGAGGTGCCGTCGCGAAGTCTGAACGCTGCATAATATTAGCGCACTCCGACTCATCACTTGTGGCCAGCAACTAAAAAACTAACCTGTAATAAAGCTCTAATTCGATGCACAAGAAATGCGAAATCGGGTCGATCATCGGGCAACGACCGCCAACAGCACTGCATCAAGTCGTATCTGAAACATTCTGGGTTAGTCAGGTTAGCAGGGCCACTTGAGGCAAATATGAAGCATATGAGTGCATGGGATGGGAGAGCTATCCAAAGATTATGCCCCTTCTACATAACCCCACTAATCTGTCCTGCACAATGTGAAGCCCCACCCTTTTTGCACGAGTTTTCGCAACATTTAGCACATATTTCCTGCTTCGCCATGGTGCTCGCCATGTGACAGTAGGTGCTTATAAAGGTAAAGTAAACTTACTGAATGCGATGTGGCCTATAAACTGGCCTACAGGTCCAAAGGAGCGTATGAGCAGCTTAGGGTTCCCCTCCTCCCATACGAATCTGGTGCCGCTTCATCGTTCACGGAAAATAACGACTTGATTGACAGGACAGGAGCCTAGTCATGATTTCAACCTGGACCGTGTTACATGCCACTGCACCACTTTCGCCGCATATAACTATTTACTTTACAAATAAAGGTACGTACACAATATCAGGGCAATGTGTTGGTTGTGGTAGTCGTAGACCGCTCTCCAGGTATTGGCGAACCTTCGCGTTCGATACATCACCGTAAGGAGAAGCAGCTCGGGTCATCAATTCCCACATTAGCACACCGAACGACCACTGAAAACAAATGGATTGCTGCAGTTCCTAGGAAAAGGCAATAATTTAAAAAAGTAGAAATAAACATGAGTTGAAAAAATCACTATAAAACAGAGACGGTTTGTTATGCTCCTGTCCTCAGACGATTCAGTGCTATTTCGTCAACTCTAGGACGTAAAAGCCCCCTCTGAAACCTTTTTTTCTATATGAGGTTCGTTTTGGATACGCTCATCGAACGAATTTGCTCAAGAACCTTATTTAAGTGGTTATTTCCTATTTTGTTAAGTTTCACTGCTTTTATAGAAGTATTCCACAATCACTGAATGGGCGGAGTTTAGTAGCTGTGTGCATCCCTCATTTGGCAGTCTGCCCCCGGCAAAGGAGAAGGGGGCATCATCGAGCAGGGCATAGAGGTCTACATGAAACTGCATCGTTCAACTGATCTGCTCGAAAGTCTTTTTAAAAAGTATAAAGGAACGCCCTACTAAGCAAATCTTAGCCGGCCAGCCTGGAAGAGGTCATCGGCCCGGAGGATCGACGAGCTAATTGTTAGTTACAGTGAGCTTCTGAGGACAAAGGTAGTTAGGATGCCACGTAGCTGCCCAACTATAGACCTTTGCCTCATGTCACAACATACACTCTTTATCCTCATGGATGGAGTAGGCGTGACTTGGACAAGGCATATAATATAGATTTCTCGCGGATATTTCAATTGCGAAACAACTACACTTATTACAGGATTTAAGCGCTTCAAATTAACAGTGAGGGTGTTGAGAGGCAAACGCGCCCTACTGACATGCTCTGTTCTGGTGGTGAGAGCTGGCGCCCTTGTGATAGAAGAGGAGGACCAACGACGCATAGATTGTTTTCAGAACGAGAAATTTCGTCCTAAAGCATAGCCAGGTTCGAATGAGAGGTGAGCGAGTCCCACTCGCCTTCCCGCTCCTGGGGTCGAGTGTATTTGCAGTCCAGGGTACAGCATGTTGTGTGTTAAAAATACTGTGGAGGGCAGTCGTACTTGGCCCGCTGGGACGGGCGGCGGGAGCGTATCCTTGGTCGTTTGTTGTTGGGGGGGGGATGAATGGATATGTCGAAAAGAAGCCGCGTTTGGGAAAAAAATTCCACAACTGTGTTGACTTTTCGGCGTTTTTCGTTTTAATACACTTCCCCCCCCCTTGAACGTGGAACTTTTTGACCGCGGTAAAATTTGTAGGGAGCTAGGCAACTTGGTAGAAAAGTCGCGTAGGTAGGTGCTATAGGAAGAGAGGGCAGGAGGGGGTGTATTTACCACCCACCTTCAGACATCACGATGCTGTGACCTGTTTGGAAGGTCTTATTCGCTCGCGGATGAGCGTTGTCAGTTAGGTTCTGCGTTCTGGCGCGCCTCACACATCCCCACCAATTGCTGAAGCGAGCTAGCGACAATAATTGGTGGAAAGCGACTGCGACGCGACGAACGATATCAGACAGTCTTGCCGGTCATCGAAAGAAAAAAGGGCTCGCGCGAAGTCGAACCCCCTTTGCAGGCCTCATCATCCGCAGCGAACAAGACTGTATGTCTCCATGATTGACTGTTAACCTTTATTCACCTTTCTATCTGCTTCATCTAATGTTTGACAGCAGCAAATGAAAGAAAATATTTTTTAGAACTCCCGTAACCGGAAGGAAGCTACTGGTATCACCGTTTTCGTTTTTTCTCGCTTGCAAAAATAATTAAAGAAACTCCTTGAAAAAATGGAAGAAATTCTGACCACATCGGTTGCCACATTGAATACCCGCCGATCCCGTAGACTTTCCGGTGCTAGCCACTTTAGCGGTAGACGAGCAGGTCCTAAACGGGAAAACGAAATCAAGCTCGATGTGTCATTTTGTCAACGCTACGATAAAACATGACGCGACAGCTACGACGAGCTCTATAGGCGAACGAACCGGTTTCCGATTCATCGATATACGATTCTTTGTCGAGTAAATCAACAGCCAGACCAAAATCGGCAACTTTGACCACTCGATTGGCCGATATCCTGAAAAACATGGGCTAGAAACCTGTTCTATTACAAGAAGGGAAACAACTGCATTTTTTTAGACACGTTTTTGGCAAGGGGAGCTTTCACACAATGGTGCTGGACATGACTCTTTTTCCACGTTGAATTTGTTAATCTTAAGATTAGAAGATGGCCACGAATTTTGCCGTGGCCCCATTTATATGCCGGAGATGTGGGAAGCGTGTCTGCGTGCTTTGTTTGAACACAGCCTGGGATGCGTTTCTTATCGGATATTTTATTTGGGACAGCCGTCATTCTGTCTTGGGCTGGACAAACACATGATTACAGTTGTTCCAAAACGGCAATATTCCACCAAAAGCGCAGCGGTCGCCGTGTTCAAGCTAGATACGCAGCCACGCCCCACCCAAAATGTGGGAGATGGGTGTAGGTGTGGTGGACAATTTAGAATAAATATGAGCCTCAGAATTAGAGTACTTGCACGATTAGGAGTTCTGTAACACTAGGTGGATCCACTGCTTCCCCCCCCCCCCCCCCGCTCCCTACGTTTTACGAAATGCCGAAAGTTGGCACTAACGATACAATAATCTGAAGACGAGAATGTCGCTCTCTCAACCCAGACGCTGCCACTTCAACCGATTAATTGACCCCTTTTGTTAAACCTAGCACGTCTGATGGGATGGTTGTGTTGATTTCAAGTTTGTTCGGACCAGCTAAAGGGAGAGAATCCTTCTTAAACCACGTTGAAATCTGTGGGTTGACTCTCGGATGAGGGTGTAGTCAGGGTACCTCCTGCTGTTGGAAAAAATTTTTGCAAAATACGACCCTTTTTTGTAGTTTCCTCTCTTGGTAAAACCCCCTCTAGCCCAGCGGCTAAGTATACGACTCTCTCCCCCCCCTCCTCTCCCCGCCCTTTGATCCCGCACGTTGCCGCCTGGAATGCCAGCAATAGGAAGATATCTCTTAAAGGCACATTCCGCGAAAAAATAAGGCTATGACCTCTCAAATGTGTCGGACGACCCGGAAGGCGATTTTTGAGGCTGCGCTACTTTCAAAATGTGAAAAAAAAACGGCAAGAAACTTCGCTAGAAGCTGGCTAATTAGGCCCATGGACACCCCTTAGGCCCATGCCGACCCTCACCGGCTGCTAGCTACTAGCTAGTAGCCACTATGTTATCTTTATCTATAATATTTCGGACTGCTTTTTCTGCGTCTGCATCAGTATGCTTAGCACCTTTTTGGCCTATTGAGCTGCCGTGTCCCCAATTTGCGGGTCGGCGAACTGTGCCTTTAAGGCACACGCTCTTGAAGCTGTCCAAAGAAACTCCTGGATTCCATCTTCCGTGCGCTTCTCCCGCGTGGGCTTAATTAGCTGCTGTACTTCCAGAGCTACTGTGACCAAGAACGAGGACTTATTTATCTATTTATTTTTTACTTGTAAAAACAGACTGCTCCCGCGTAAATTCCTCAGATTGAAAGGTGAAAGAGGCGGTGGAAACCCAAGATTACTCGTAAGATTATATCAGATTCCTTTGGAGTGCTTCATGTATATAAGGGTAATGCCATTCCCAACATGACCACCCACCAAGATGTCCCAGCATTTCCACCCTCCCAGTGGAATCCGATATGACCGGGTCAAATCTATCAGTGGCGGCAAGGACCGATTTATATCAGATTCCTTGAGTGACTGCTTACAAGGCAGCATGGCTAGTCACCAGGTTGTATATATGAATTTTACTAGAAATGAATACTTTGACCAACTTACATGCAGTTTCTGGCGGCAAGATCTCGATGAACGAAGTGCTGGGCAGCCAAATAGGCCATTCCTTGAGCGACTTGGTAGGAGAAATCTAACAGCTCCAGTACGCATAGAGCCTAGAAGAATCAAGGGTTGAGCGGATACCGTAGATACGGAAATTAAGGTAAAAAGAGAGAAAATCTGCACAACTAAACTTGGAATTCTGAAGATACTGGCAAGTTTAGCCGATTTTTTCACCTTCAATGAACCTTTCATTTGAAAAATGAAGTAAAAAGGCAAATAATTAACAAAGTAGAAAGCAAAACAAGATGAATAAATGAGAACTGATGAAAAAAAGAGCAAAAGAAAGGAAGTAACAGGTACTGACCCTGTTCGGATCTCCGATGTAGGTCTTTAGATCTCCGCCTTCCATATAGGGTAAGACCACCCAGGGAGTACCGGAGGGTGAGATAGCGATACCCTTCAGAGACAACACATGTTGGTGATCGAAATGCTTCATGATAATGCCTTCTCGAAGAAATTTCTCGATATGGGCGATGTCACGTGATCGTTCCCCTGAAAATACTAGTAATTCTAGATAATCGGTTAAGTCAAACAAATACGGTTGAATTGCCCTATTGATGCTGTAAAGATCTTTCTTTCTGGGTACTGACAGAAGGGAACTGAAGGCAAAATGCCCTCCCAACCCGAACAGCGTCGGACTTTATTTCCTAGTTCAACGGACATCATTTTTTTTGAAAGAACTTGTAGTTCCGAATTTGAGCTCCTACCTTTCAGTGTTTTCACTGCCACCGGCTGGGCTCGTCCAGAGGCGTCTCGTAGTAGGCCACGATATACATTTCCGAAATAGCCTGCAACAGTACCTGCACTATTCAAAAGACAATTTTTAAATTATCATGTACATTTCCGTAATAGCCTGCAACAGTCCCTACATTATTCAAACGACAATTTTTGAATTATGCAAAGATAGAGCAGTGGCGCGATTTAGCCAGCTTGGGAGCAAATCGGCGAAGGGGGGGGGGGCATTTTGCACTTTTGCTACTTCCCATCGACGTGTCGAGCCATCTAGAGAGCTATTTCATGAGCTTACAAGAGTTGACAGGTTCTACCATGATGGCTTGACGAGCTTGCTCCAGCTTCACAGAGTTCACAGGTTTCACCAGAGTGAGATATGCAAACCGGAACTAGTGGAGCAGCGAAAGTGCAAAATGCCCCCCCCCCTCCGTCGCCAAACTGCCCCTCCCAGCTTGTACTACAACAGAGTTACGTTGAAGCGGAACCTCAGCCAGCGCGGGACTAACGCCAGGGAGAAGACGTTGATGCATTGAGATTACTGGCATTCCACGAATACACGGTCCACCCACCCCCTTCGATCCTTCTGGGACATTTGAAAGTCCTTATCTGATTCTACGATTGTGAATAGGCTTCGAATGGATGGCGCATCCTGAAGGGTTGTCACTACTTCATCCTATCCGTCTCATTCATTCATTCTCCTTACACTTTCACTCATTCATTTCCTGCTTCTAAACACCCACGGAGAATGTCTGAAGACCGCTGTTCTGCGAGTCTTCCCGAATTTTGTGCGAATACGCTCCCCCTCCCACTTCTACCTTACCTCTTTCCCACCAGCATCTTTCACGGTGTTAGAGTTTCCATCATATCAATCAATAGGTTCCCCGAGAAAAACGGCTCTCGTTCTTCCGCCCAGGAAATGCTCACTTAGCTGAGTAAACAGACGGCGAACGTCAGGGAACCTCGAATTTCGACAGGAACTTAGCCACAGTCAGTCGGAGCCTAGCCGCGCATTAACCGGTTCATGCTCGTTATGAGGTCATTCAGGCTATGTGGAGGATACAGAATGCTCCTGGCTGCGAGTCCAGGATGCCCCTGATGGCAAGATTTAGGTGTTCAGGAATACTTAGGGGATTAGCAGACGTCCTGACTCCTAATCAGCGGAAAAGCCGTCACCTGTATCAAGGTGTCATTGAATTGTGGCCATTCATGAATGGTTTGGATCTCTACCATTTTGGAAAAGTCCCAATTTCCCATTTTACCTACTTGCCGATGCATTATAAATTGCGAGGCTATGTTCATACGCACTTTTTGAACAGTGCGAAGGGGGGGGACTGGCTTACGCGGGGGTAGGAGATGTGAGTTAGGAGTTGGTAAGGTCTAACGGTGTTTTGATAGGCAAATAGAGCAGATTGATAGATTGATGTCAGAAGTAGGTACATATGCGCAAGACAAACATGAATTTCATTCGCTCATACGATCGTCAACATTCAGCGGCTCTTCTGGCCACAACCGAGTGAGGAAGCCCTCCAGGTTACTAGCCTCCAGGCTCATTATTAGGTTTTGTAATGGGCGCAGTTCGGCAATGGGGGGGGCATTTTGTACTCTCGCTACTTCCCATCGACGTGTCGACCCATCTAGAGAGCCTTTTCGTGAGTTGACAGGTTTCACCATTGGTGGCTCGATGAGCTTGCTCCAGCTTCACAGGAGTTCACAGGTTTCATCAGTGTAAGGTATGCAAAGCGAACTAGTTGAGCAACGAAAGTGCAAACTACCCCTCCCGCGCCGAACTGCGCCTCTGCAGTGACCACTCGTTGGCTCACCTCGTAACGGTAATGCTTATTTACACTGATCTTCCAGATATTTCACCACTATTCTCCAGTATTTCTTCCCTGGCGTTGATTCTGCTCTGGCTCGGGGTCCCTGGGATCTACTTATAGCATCGGGATGAGTGAAGTCGCAGTGGACCTTTCTACTCCAACCTAACCCTCCGCTTGAGGGTAAAGTTTGGAGAACTGTGCTGAGACTGCCATTTCACCCTTCAGCACTTCTCCCTCTACTTTCCATCGGAATACCAGAGTTTCCCGAATGTTTGCTGTCGAGCCAGGTAAGGGGAGGGCTGTGGGTGATTGTGATCAACTATCAGCAACTATCACTTGTTCCACGTTACCAACTGGAGGGGAGGGGGTGGGGAAATCAACCAATCGGAGAAATCTCTCTGAGTGCCAAGTACGACCCGCACCCCAAATGGCCAGATACGATATGGAAACCAGGAGAATGCCTCTCTTCAAGTCAAACTGCCCCTGGATATTTGTATCCACAACAACTGGGTTTTGACTACTGTCAACACAAGCGAACTGCAGCCCTCCCACGTTCTAACATTTCACAAGCGTCAACCGCTGTTCAACTGTGCTGCTCCCTCGCACTCTATTTGCAGTCGGGATGAAAAGCAGTAGAATAGCTGACGCCCTAAGCTAACAACTATGTCGTCGAAGAAGCTACACGTCAGCGTTTCCGCACACGGAACCGCCATGTCAGTTCTGTCACCTCTAATAGGAGCGATAGACGGCTTTGGGATGGCTACGAATCGTATCCAGTTGTTTTCCGGGTCAAAACTAGTCGGCCGG